AGTTGTTCTAAACGGCGTTAAATTAGGTTGACCTGTATTTTTTACTTTGATGACGTGGCATTGTTCAATAAAATTTAATGGCTGATGTGTTTTAAAATTGTTCACGTTACATCTCAAATCAACTTCTTCTTCTGTCTCACCACTTTCTCTCTCTCCCATCTCTTCCAACACTCAAAAAAGCTGCAGTTTTTTTTTTCCAGGAAAGAGAAATGAGGTTCATTTATGGAAATTCTAATAGGGGATATCTGATACCTGAATACAGAGCACGTCTGAGATTTGCCATGGCCTTTTCTCCAACCACTCCAAAGAAGTAATGCTGGACGGTGTGGCTGAATAATGAAAGCATCCCTACTGTAGTGAAGATGGCTGAATAAAGTCCAACTTTCGTTTTTGCATCTTCCTTAAAGTATGCTACTCCTATGGTGATGATGAAAAACCCAAAAAATGGCTTTGAGATACCAGAGAAAGCTGCTGCAATTGAGCCAATAGAAACCTTCACTAGCTCCCTCTTTCTAAGACGAAACCAAATTCTGAAAAATATATTTCTTTTTCCGCTGCCCATTTTGTTGTGTTCCTTTAGCACAGAGTGCTCGGTAATATTCTTTTGGACCTCTCCCTGCACTTCTACTCGTGGTCTAGTTTCAGTAGGAAAATCTTTCTTGGCGGGCACTTTTAGTCTTTGAAGAGGAAAAAACAAAGAAAAATTGCAGCTTTTGAGTGTTGGAAGAAATGGGAGAGAGAGAAAGTGGTGAGACAAAAGAAGAAGTTGATTTGAGATGTGACGTGAACAATTTTAAAACACATCAGCCATTAAATTTTATTGAACAATGCCACGTCATCAAAGTAAAAAATACAGCTCAACCTAATTTAACGCCGTTTAGAACAACTTAACGGTTAGGGTAAAATTGGCTCATTTTTACAAAAAATATGACCCAATTGAGACCGAAAAAAAAACGATGACCCATTTGAGATTTCCATATAAATACGAGGACCAACCGAGGGTTTAAACCTTATAATTAGTTTGTTGTAAGATCCATTTTCATTTTTTATTTGGAGATCGGAATCTTCCCTGACTCTTGATTGTTGCTTAAATCAAGAAACACTAATCGGTTTTCAGATTTCCAACAATATGCAAGTGGCCCCTTTATTTGATTATCTGATAAATCCAAAGTGCCCAAGTTTGCAGCTGTGACGTTTCTGCATGAGATATCCTCTAAAGAATTTTCCTCCAATGATAGAAACTCCAACTCAGATAGTTGTCTGATGCTTCTCGGGTATCTTGCCAATAATTTGGGTATAAGATAATGCCCGAAATATGTGTTTGCTTGTAATTTGTTATCCGAGACAAGATGAAGCTCTTGCAGTTTGAAGCTAAGGAGTGCTTGCTTCTCTCTGTCTATGCATTTTGCTTCATCACTCATTTGAATTGTTGAACATCACAGTAATTCCTGAGGCAAGCAAAGAAAGCAGTAGAAGAACATAAAATGTTTTTAGAAAATAAGCACTCATTTCTTTTTTTTCCTTTTTTTTGCAATCAATCTGAGTGCTCAAATCGCAGCTCTTGACGCTGCCTGCAACAGTGCTATCAGAGCACGCGGTGGCGCTGCACTCGCCGGTCGACGAGACCAATGTTTGGGCACACGACCCCTCGAGGTTACTACCCACTGCCAGCAGCTGCACCACAAGCCCCTTTTTCACCGTTGCGAGCTCTTATACGTCTGCCGCATCCAATGCAGCTCTACGCTCATTACGGCAACGGCGGGCACCTCCGCGACCACCTTCAGCGATTTCTCGCGGATCTCGCACACTTCCTTGTTATGGAGGATGATGTGCCTGCGGGGTTTAGTGCCGCCTCCAACGTATTTGAATTGAAACCCCATAAGGGCCTCCACCACAGCCGCCTGGCGTCGAAGGGCGTTTACCAGTCCTGGGCCAGTGCGTGAAGCTCATTGTAGGCTTTGTACAGTGGAGGCATAAGCCTTAATAAATATCACCTTTTATTTCAGCAAATCAAACAAAATGAACGCGTAATGTTGGGTGTACTACAGAAGGGACTATCAAAATGGGGTCAGTAAAATGATGATACATGCTTACAGGGAAGTAAATAATAAATTTCCATGTTTTCTCAAAAATTCAATTTCTTTAAAATATGATATATAATTATCTTTAGAATTGACATGAAGAAATTATGGCACTGGGCATGGTTTGAATATGTCTTGTCGAGTTTGGTATATAGTATATGACTCGTCACCAACAAGATCAACAGGAAGAGCCTCGCCGAAGCAGTGATATTGAGGTCGAATGCTCGTCTAGTTTTATGGTTATAGAAGATGTCGTTCGGTCTTATGGTGGACGCCAACCGATGGGTCCTTATTGTTTTGTGTGCCGAACGTCCTTGTTCCTTGCTTCAAAATATTGAATAACAAATGAGAGTTACTTACAAAAGACACTCTGACATCAGAATTTTTATCTTACAAGTCTTTTATGATTCAATAGTCACTCAAAAGTCCCTTTACTNTTTTTTTTTCCAGGAAAGAGAAATGAGGTTCATTTATGGAAATTCTAATAGGGGATATCTGATACCTGAATACAGAGCACGTCTGAGATTTGCCATGGCCTTTTCTCCAACCACTCCAAAGAAGTAATGCTGGACGGTGTGGCTGAATAATGAAAGCATCCCTACTGTAGTGAAGATGGCTGAATAAAGTCCAACTTTCGTTTTTGCATCTTCCTTAAAGTATGCTACTCCTATGGTGATGATGAAAAACCCAAAAAATGGCTTTGAGATACCAGAGAAAGCTGCTGCAATTGAGCCAATAGAAACCTTCACTAGCTCCCTCTTTCTAAGACGAAACCAAATTCTGAAAAATATATTTCTTTTTCCGCTGCCCATTTTGTTGTGTTCCTTTAGCACAGAGTGCTCGGTAATATTCTTTTGGACCTCTCCCTGCACTTCTACTCGTGGTCTAGTTTCAGTAGGAAAATCTTTCTTGGCGGGCACTTTTAGTCTTTGAAGAGGAAAAAACAAAGAAAAATTGCAGCTTTTGAGTGTTGGAAGAAATGGGAGAGAGAGAAAGTGGTGAGACAAAAGAAGAAGTTGATTTGAGATGTGACGTGAACAATTTTAAAACACATCAGCCATTAAATTTTATTGAACAATACCACGTCATCAAAGTAAAAAATACAGCTCAACCTAATTTAACGCCGTTTAGAACAACTTAACGGTTAGGGTAAAATTGGCTCATTTTTACAAAAAATATGACCCAATTGAGACCGAAAAAAAACGATGACCCATTTGAGATTTCCATATAAATACGAGGACCAACCGAGGGTTTAAACCTAATTATAATATTGAACCATTTATTTTATTTTGCGCTAACACATATTTTTGTTAAGCAACTTTGAAGTAATAAAAATAGTATTTTGGAGCATAATCAAACGGGCTCCATGGAAATGGAACAGAGGAAAAACTTTATCCGAAAGTTTCATAAATTCCAATCATAGGCGGTCGACGTCAAACTCATGGAAACTGTCAGAACGCTTGAAGACCGGTCTCACTTGTCCGGTCTGGCCTTATAACTCAAACTAGCTTAATTTTATTAGCTATACTTTTTTATCGTTCAAAATCGAATTGTTATTTTTCTTCAATGCAGATAACAGGATCCTAGCACCTACTGCTTAACATGAAAAAAGTTCTAAAAAGAGCTCCTATCAACATAGAAAAAAGTTCTAAAAAGAACTCTCATCATTCGCCGATCAACATGAGAAAAAGTGCTAAAAGGAGCTCCTATCAACATAGAAAAAAGTTCTAAAAAGAACTTCATCATTCGCCGATCAACATGGAAAAAAGTTCTAAAAAAGGCTAACATAGGAAAAAGTTCTAAAAAGAACTCCCATCATTCGCCTAGGAAAAAGTTCTAAAAAGAACTCTCATCAATAGTTGGATCACCAAAGTCCAACCTTGTCAGGTTCTAATGACTTCTCATTATAAAAATAAACTATTTAATATTTTGTTAAACGTATATTTTTGTGAATGAAAATATCTTACATAGGAAAAAGTTCCAAAAGAACTTCAGACGTTTACTGCTCAACCTAGGATAAAGTTCTAAAGAAAACTCTTAGAGTCCGCCGCTCGAAGCAAAGGGCAATGAAAACATAAAATACATCAAAAATACAACGTGAACGGTCTCTCTCAAGCTCACAATAACCTTACGTGCACCTCTTTCAATAAAGAGCTTGCTTGGGCTTGGAGGACTTATGTATTATAGGACCACCTGGTCAACCCAAGGACCGAACGATTGACCATCCAACAAAAAAATGATCTACCAGGAAATTAATCTAAACAGTCAATGGAAAGTTAATGAAAATAATTGTCATTTATTAACAATTAACAAAAATAATGTCATTAATTGGCAGAATAATGTCATTTATTGACCTAATGATAAGTTCATTATAATAATTTATAAATATTTGTCTGACAGAAAAGCCAGGTAATTTTATTCTAATTACTATCTTTATTACAAGATTATTAGACAAAGTCACTGACTTAAACGTCAGAGTGTCTGCTGTAGATACCCTCCCCATGGCTAGGACAAGGAGAAGAGAGATGATAGCGCAACTGAAAGATGAGACAGACAACTTTGAATGTTTTAGGTTAAAGATCTCAATCATACCGAAACAAGTATCTTAATACATCAAATATATGCTTCAAGTTAATTTACAAAAACACGGATAATGGAGATAAAAAAATTAAATTTAACTATTCTAGACCTGACCTGAAGATACAGGGTGCCTTGTTTTCCTGTCTAGTTTCTCATTTTTACAATATTTAAACAATAAATTTCCAAAATTAATGCCCGTGCCAGATAAGTTTGATATAAAAAGCTTCTAATACATACAACAAAATTACATGAAGATGTAGTGTTTTCTCACCAAAAAAAAGAAGTCATGTATTTTTATGTATAGGACTTTTCTTTTCCAAATAAAAAACACCAAAAAAATTGACAAATTATTCTGCTGTATAATTTATTCCTTTTACATGTTTTCTCTTACAGAAACAAAAATGTACGAAATAGAAACACATCCTATCTCTACTTTATTTTGCTGCAAAATAGAATTGAACTCACTGGAGATGGTTTCGACCTTTGCATTTAATCACGGAGGCTTCACCGGTCGGAAAAACTCTATTGAACCTGTGGTGTTTCCCAGTGCCAAAAATAGACAAAAAAATAAATAAAATCTTAAGGCATTATGCTTATACTAGCCCTCGGAATGTTGTTTGCAGCCCTTGGGTCCATAATGCTTGGTGCCGCGCCTCACAATCTCTTTGCACAAGTAGCAGTAGTGGCTTTGGCATGCCCAGCAAAACAAGTGATTATTATTTCCAATCTGTTTTTAAATTCAAAATGGCAATGGAGAAAGTAGTTAGTGATGACAAACAAACTATATTCCAACCACAACAAATAGGGTCTCTTCGATTGTTAAGACCCCAAAATGAGCAGTATGCCCTGGAATAGCCCCTCCTTTAACCAATTAACTAATGTAACGGGTTTTTGGTCATACTGTAAAAGTTCGTAAGTTGGAACCTTACCATTAGTTCACAAAAGGTATTCCTTGGAGAAGCAAAGGACATACAATGAGAATAGGAAAATCCTTGAATGATTTCAAAGTAATAGCAGATACAGTGCAAATAGCGTCAAACATAAGAATATTCGATTTCAAGCATAATGTACGAGGATGCCTTCCTGTTCTTTCCTTATACTACCCGTATGTCAAAATATATAATACACTATAAAAACTGGAAGGTCATTTCTGATAATAAAATAGAGCTCCTCAGCCGTATCGCAGGCTAACCAAATCCATAATCACAATCAACTACATTAATTCAGGTAACTCAACAATTCTCATCTCATTCAAACAGACACTGCCATGAAATATTTTTGCAAGAAGCAAACAGAAAGCTTTACTCACCTTTGCATTAAATTGACGACAATTAGGACATGTCAAGCCTCGTTGAGGAAAAAGCTCAGCCTGTAATTGTCCTACTACCTGGCGATTATTTATTCGCTCTTGCCAGGACTCGACCATTTCTCTTGGGAACAGCTCACATGAACCATCCCTTGAAAGAACGAAATAGAGTTCCGTAAGAATTATGTAATTTAAATTTTGGCAGACGCAAATCACGCAAAAGATTTTGCCTGTGTATTACTTATAAAAAGCCAAATACCTGAAATGTCCATAAGGATCTGATGGATCAATTGCCTTGTTGCAGCGGTAACAAAAGTATTGTTCACAATTACCACATTTCATCTTGTTACAACCTTCAGTTCGAGAAATTGCCATGTCACAAGAGGGGCATAGCTTGGAATCACGATGAATTTCTTTCATACTGAGCATTTCATTAATCTTTTCACGTTCTCTACGCTTTTGATCTTCCTTTAAATGGGATGAATTTTGACGGTCCTAAAGTAAGACAAAAATCAGAAAACTGAAAGCCACTTTTTGGTTAAAAATTACAGCCAAAAATCAAGATAAAGGATAATAGAATAGAAAGACACGACTCAAAATACATGCCCTTTTGAACATCAAGAGCAATAGAAACTAGCAACATACTAGACTCACATACATCACGACAATGAAATAATTAAGAAACTACAATGTCATGCTAGAGATTCCACATTAAAATCTTGCATTTTGAATAGGAGACTCAAGTCTCACATTACAATTGGACCCTAACAAAAATTAAGTACGACAGAGCAAGGAACAGGGAGTGAACTGGATAGAAACTATGAGAAATAGAGAAGATTGGGAGAAAATATCCCTTGTGTGTTTAGCATACACATAGGGTAGTTTATTTATATTGTAAGATATGGGCCAA